GGGGCCGCAGCGCCGAGCGGCGGCGGCACACGCAGCCGCCCGCGGAGTGAGGGAGGCAGCGACCGAGCGGGCGGACGGCGGCCGCGGGAGATGTGCCCGGAGGAGGACGGCGGCTGCGGCGGCGGTGGCGGCGGCGGCGGCAGCGTAGCCGGCACCGGCGGTCCCGAGGTGGCGGCTGCGGTGGCGCTGGACGAGCTCCGCTCCTGGTGGGAAGTCCCGGCCATCGCGCACTTTTGCTCGCTCTTCCGCACCGCCTTCCGCTTGCCCGACTTCGAGATCGAGGTGAGAATCCCGCGGACGCCGCGCTCCGTCCCGCCGGACAGCCCGCGGGCTGTGTCCGCGCCGCCGTTCCCGCTGCGCCCCCGTTGCCCGGCGGTTCTCCCACGCCGCTCTCGCTGCCCAGCGATGTGGTGGGGGACACTCCCCGGCCCCCGGCGAGCCGCTGGATTCGGCGTGTTGCAGCGAGGGGTCTCTCCTCCGCTTGCGGCGGACCCGGCAACTTCCCCGTCCCTYCCCGGCGCGTTCGCAAACTTTCGGCGCGCCCGTCCCGGGCGCCGGTGGGCGGCGGYGGGCAGGAGCCCCCCGGCTCCAAGGCTGGCGGGGCGCACGGCGGAGTGGCCGCGGGCGGAGCGGGGCCGGCCCCGCCGGGCCGCATTGTTCCGCCCGGCCGGTGTCCGCACACAAAGGTGGCGGGGGGACGGACGCGSCACGGAACCCACAGTGGGTCCCCCGTGCCCAAAATGGTGGCGGTGAGAGGCGAGCCCAGCCCGGTAACCCCCCACCTTCCCCGGGGGTACCCCCRGTTGTTGTTGGGGGGTTTCCCCAGCCCACTCAGCTGTTCTCGGGTCAGCTCCTTTTGTTGCGGGTGGGGGTCTGCACCTGGCCGGTGCCGCCGAGGGGTGGGGGGCACGGAGGGTCCTGCCGAGCCTTTCTCCCTCATCCCGGCGAGGCCGGAGGGCTCCGCAGCGCACCGCGCCGCTCATTGTGCGGCTCAGCGGGGCCGCCGAGGGATCGACGGTGCCTTCACCACCGCTCCTGTCCCCTACGGAGGGAACGCTCTCCGCTTTCGTACCTTCTTACCCGTTTTCCTGCGTGACTTTCTTCTGTGGCTTGTTTGGGTTTTGGTTTTTCTTTTTTTTTTATTTACTTAATTTTAATTCTTATTTTCATGCGCRCAGCTAATGTCCCGTAAATATTTTGTGCGCTCGCCACAAATGTTACAAACAAAGTGTGTCCTGGTAGGAAATCTTTTGTGCTTGCTGTGAAAAGCTATTCTTGCCAGCGCGTTGGCAATAAACCGGGTGAATAACGTGGTGGCGTGTGTTTTTTAAAGACAGTAATTGCCCTGTGAATGCGAATTCCAAAGATGCTTAAAAGTTCAATGGGATGCGCGAAGCTCTAAAGAGCAAAACTCCTCGAGCAGGATGTGAATTTCTGAAGAGGGGGAATCCCTTATGCGGTACGAAATCTTGAAAGGGGATAAGATCTCTCTCAATGATGCAACTTCTTGCGAAAGGGGACTCCCCTCCCCCTCCTATTGATGCCAAACCATTAAAGGGGGAGGCTCTCCGGGCCCAGCAGCGCAAAGTCTTGAAGGAACCTGAATTTACAATGATAAAGGGGCCAAGGCACTAGCCTTTCACCTTTGGAGGCAATTAGCATCTGGCTTGCTTCACAAATGAAGTAAATGTGGGCTTCCCTTTGGTTCCCGGAGCACGCTTAGGCTGGGGGAGTTAACATCGTCACTCGGAGCAAATTAACTTGCTTTTTTGGGGGGGAAGTCCGGGAGGAGGAGGAGGAGGAGTGCGGGCGCGTTGGTGCTGGGGGTGTTGCAGAGCAGAAGCAGCACACCGAAAACATTGCCAAAAAACTCCGTGCACGTGGATGGCCTGCAGCACTTGGCAGAAACGGGTTTTAAAGAATGGCGTTTGTCCGAGGGTYGGTGGAGATTTCGGTTAAAATCTGGATGCTGTGAGAGGATGGATGCAGCTGTCAGAACTCTGCTTCTTCAGGCACGTGGAGTAAATCTCCTTTCCCGGCGCAGTGTGAGCAGCCCTGCACAAGCRGTTTCAAAAGTTGCCGTTCCTTGAAGCTCACCATCTTGTTAACTCTTGCCTGGTGTAGTTGTTCCARCCTCATCACTGGTTTCAGGGATATCTGGTAACGGATCTTTGCTCTGAGAGATTTCTCAAATAGTTCAGCGTTTGAAACCAATGGCCAGCAGTGGGACTTATGCTTTTTTTCTAAGAGTACTGCTTTGTGTGTTTGTTGCTTTTTTTTTTTTTTTTTTTTTTTTTTTTTTTTTTTTTTTTTTTT